GGTGAGGGTCAGGGGTCACCGCCTCCGTTCTGAAAAGCCTTTCGCTGGCAGGGTGCTTCTGAGGTTTAAAATTGCTAGCAATCTGTCTTATGTCAGATTTTGCTAGAATTTTCACAGGTCTCACCAAGTCCCGTTTTGGGTGTTATCAGGCAGTTTTCTGTGAAAGGTGTGTCACTTACAATCAACCCCCCAAGTGGCAATCAGTGTGTCCTATGTGATGTGAGCAATGGATTCTATATATGAGGTATAGGATCACACGTGTGTGTTCACACGCATGATACACATGTGTGCACATGGCAGGTGCACATGTACGCTATGTGATTCATTCACACATGGCACACGTAAGTGCAGGTGATGTTTACAGACACTTATGCTAAGCATGTGTTTGCACACGACACCCATATGTACATAAGATACGTACACGCATGTACTAAGCGTATCCATGCGCGTGATTCATGTAAGTGCGGGTGATTGTGCACATGTATTCTAAGTGTGTGTTTGTGCATGGTGCATGTGCATACGGCGTGCACACATACATGCTACGTGCATTCACGCACAATACACGTAAGTGCAGGTGATGTTCACACACGTATTTACTAAGTGTGTGTTTGGGCGTGACTCGCGTACGTGCAGACGTGTGCACAGGTCCACGTACATATCAAGCACCTAGCGCACCGTCCACATCGCTGACGACTGTTCCGCCCATTGGTGAGAGGCGTTTGCCGGTGACCGTTTGGGGGCCTCGTCTTCCCGCCTGCAACGCGGGCTCCTGGCTCAGCTCTACGTCACCCCTTCCTCACCGTCACACAAGGAAGCGGGACCTGCCTGTCCTCACGTGCCCTCGGGGGCATTTGCAGGAGGCGTGGTGCCCCAGCTCTTTAGGGGACTTGGGGGGGGACAATGCTGTAAGGGACAGCTTGTCCCCTGTGGGAAATCCTCAATCACATTGGGAGGTTAAGGACTCAGGAAGGCGCATGAGGCCTGTTCCAGGCCCCGCACAGGACGTCCCTCCCGGCACAAGGATTGTGAGAAGAGTCAGGTGCCAACTGTGGTGTCACTTAGCGTTAAGTCCAGCTCCAGGCTCGCGCCCGGCCGCCGGGAGCTGCTTGGCTGTGGCAGCGCCGTGGCCGCCTCCGCGTGGCCTCCTCCACGTGGCCTTCCCCCGGCGTGTGCGTCCGTGACGCTGGTTGTGTTTTAACGGCCTCGTTTTAACCTGGCTACTTCTGTAGGGGCTGTTTCCAGGTTTCGAGGCCACGTTTTGAGGTTAGGATCTCAACGTGTGAGTTTGGGGAGGACACAGTGTGGCCCACGCAGAGCAGACGTGGCGGGAAGGAAGGCAGGGGCCCGTGGAGGCCGTGCGGGCTGGCTTCTCACTCGCCGGCTGGAGAACTTCGGTCCATTGATAACTTTTTAAATCGTTAAGCTTCTCACCTGCAAAACACGGATAATGACTCCCAGGCAGAACACAGCCCAGACCGGAGATGGCGCTTAGGAGCCCTAGGTGGCTTGGTACCTGCCAGACCAGTGTCCTCGGCCAGCATCACCCTCTAAGTGGGCAGCTCGCTGTACAGGCCCTGCAGGTTTCCCAGGGGCCAAGGCAGAGGGTCGCGGCCCCCTGCACGGCCGCCTTGAGGGAGGGGTCGCAGTCTCGACTGTGACCCAGTCCGTGGCACCGCTGCGCCTCGAGCCCAGACTTGTAACGCGCACAGCAGACCTCGGCGGAGGCGTCCGCGGGCCCGCAGGAGCGTCACCGCCCCGTCTCGGGGGCGGCCGTGCACAGACGCCACTCCTCGTGCATGGTCGGAGGGCCACGGGACAGTGAGGGTCCGCGGGTCAGTCGGACCCGGGCGCCCGCCTCCCGGACTCATGAGCTGGGGGAAGCGGGTGGTCCACAGACGGACGGACCGGCCGACACGCCGAGTGCTGCAGGTGTAGGGGCTCTGGCTGCGGACGAGCGGCCGGTGCCTTTCCTGTCCCTGCCTGTCACCCTCGGGGGGTCGTGTGGGGTGCGGGTGCCCCGTCTCTGACCCGCCTCCGCTGTCCCCCGCCCCGCCGCCAGGCGTGACCACAGTGCTGACCATGACCACCCTCAGCATCAGCGCCCGCAACTCCCTGCCCAAAGTGGCCTACGCCACGGCCATGGACTGGTTCATCGCCGTCTGCTACGCCTTCGTGTTCTCCGCCCTCATCGAGTTCGCCACCGTCAACTACTTCACGAAGAGGGGCTGGGCCTGGGACGGCAAGAAGGCCTCGGAGGCCGCCAAGATCAAGGTACGGCCTCGGCCCCTCCTCACGCGCTCTGCCGGGCACACCCGCCACCGGCCACCACGGCCACCGCGGTCCACCCCTCCCTCCCGCCGCCCCGGCACGCAAGGCGCTTACGCGTCTCGCTCACGACCGGCCGAGCCCCTCGTTGCTCTGAACTCCGGAGGCTGGGTGGTGGCCACGGTCCCCCCGCCTGTCCCGGGCCCGCCCGTCATCAAGCCTGCCGTCCACTCCCCTGCCCGCGCCTGCCACGTCGCTGTGCACTGTGCCTGCTCGAGGTGGCTACAGGTCACACGGGGAGTGCAGGGCGCACGGCCCCGCCGAGCAGCCTCGTGGCCCCGGGGACGATGGCGGGAAAAGCGCGGCTCTCGGGATAGCGATCGACCGTTGAGCGTCTAGGTGCCGTGGCCGAAATCGAAGGTGACCGAAGGGGAGGGCTGCACAGCCCAGCGAGCCGAGCGCGTCCAGGGGGGAGATGGGACCATGACACGTAGGGCGGCACGGGACAAGCGGCCAGCCACGCCACGCCACCCCGCAGACAGAGAGCAGACAGACTGACCGACAGGCGGACGCGAAGGCAGAGCGCAGCCTGCAGGGCGCCCCGGGGGGCACGGGGGAGCCCCAGCCAGGGGCTCCGTCTGGACGGCCCGACATGGCCGTCCCCTTCCCTGTGGGCAGTCGGAGGTCCTGAGCTGACCCGGCCCGTCTCGTCCGTCCACCCTGAGCGCCCTGAGTCCCCCCAACACCCTCGCAGCCAGGAAGACTCCCCTCCACGTCCCGCTGCCCAGCTGGAGGAAGGTTTAGCAGCCCCGTCCTGGGGCCTCTCGGGGACAAGGGAGGGGGGACGTGACACGTAGACACCTCGGCAGCAGGTGCGTTCGGGGGCAGGAACGAGCGGCCGCCCTTGACCGAAGCGTGTGGAGTTGATCGTGAGGACGAGGGGGCGGGGATGTCTGGGGGAGGGCGGGGAAGGGGCGTGGACAGAGGGGCCACCCCCCCAGCACCGGCCCATGTTGCCGGGAGCTGAGTCTTGTGTGGCCGTGTGACGTGGCCTGGGGACCGCCATGTGTGAGCGAGGGGAGCGGACGGAGCCCACCGCAGAAGCCGAGGCCGTCAGCCTCTGTCTGTGAGTCCAAGAGGAGGCTGGGCTGGGGATTGGGGGGCCTGAAGCGTCGTCATGTGGTCCCCCCACCGCTGCCGGCCTCTGCATCCACACTCAGCCCCCATGGGTGCTACGTGCCATCGGTGTGGACGGCGACCGGGGGACGTGGGCCGTCAGATCCCACAGCAGCAGTGGCCTTAGAGAACGAGCCGCTCCCCTCCACACACCTACGGACTGCATGGCTGCGGGCGCCCAGAGGGGGTGGTGCGGGGCCCGGCCCCGGGGCAGAAAGGCCGCAGGCAGGAGAGGCGTCGGGCACACGGCGCAGCTGTCCGCCCACCCGCGTCAGCCCCTCTTGCTTAGAAGAGACAGCCCTGGGGAGGTGGCCTTGTTGTCACATGCTGGGGCCACCAGAGCCAGACAGCCGGCCAGAGTCGGGGGGAGGGTAGCTGTGCGGTGCACGCGCATGTCCTTCCGTGGTGGACGCGCACGTCCGTCCGTGTCTTGCGTGTTCTCAGGGGCGCTGCAGTGAACACGGGGTGCACAGACCTTTTCCAGACAGCGATACGTTTCCTTTCATTTTCTCTCCTGCGTTTTCCAGATTTTATTTAATGAGACCGAATTCCTTTAGTTATGAAACAGAATTTTCCCAACATTGTACTATGTAGATTTTTTAAATAGACAGCAATGTTTAAAGAATTTTCTAGTGAAAACCTGCCGTTAACAGTTTAGTATGTCTGCAGCACCATCTGTCAGCTACCTGTCATCCATCCATCCACCTGTCTGTCATCTATTACCTGTCCAGCATCATCATCCATCTATCATCTCTCTATCTGTTATCCGTCATCCATCCACCTACCGATCACGCATCCGTCTGCGCACCGTGCAGCCTCGCCCGGCCCATCAACCCGTCTCATGCACCTGCGATGCCTTTCAGCGTGAGCCGCAGGGGAGAGGGCCCTTCCCGCTAAACACCGCACTTCTGCGTGCAGATCGGGAACTAGCGTTCAGTATTTTTGACCGTTTGACTCTTTCAAGCCAAATTCACGTAGTGTGAGAGTCACACACCCTGAGGGAACATCCGCAGAGCACTGACAAACGCGTTCACCACGTGACCAAGCGGGGTCACCCCCGCCTCGACAAAGGCCGCCTCCGCTCCGGTTTGTCCTCCGCCGCCGACTCTGCCCGTCGTAGACGTCCGTGCCCAGGGCTGCACCGGGGGGGGGTGCTGCAGGTGCAGAGGTCTGTGGAGCCTCCTCCGCCTGCGCCGAGCTGACACCCCCTCCGCCGTGAGACGCAGCCTGAGGACCCTGAGAGGCGAGCAGACGGCGGCCCTTACGTCCTCATTGTGTTTTGCAGAAAAAGGAGCGTGAACTCACGCTCAACACGCCGACGAACGCTTACACCACCGGGAGGATGACCCGCCCCCCCAACAGCCCCGAGGAGCAGGCCCCGGCCGGGGCCGCCGACGCCGCCTCCGTCGCAGGAAACTCCTCCGAGGACAAGGCCCCCGACAGCAAGAAGACCTACAACAGCATCAGCAAGATCGACAAAATGTCCCGGATCGTGTTCCCGGTCCTGTTCGGCACGTTCAACTTAGTTTACTGGGCGACGTATCTGAACAGGGAGCCGGAGATCAAAGGGGCCGCCTCTCCACAGTGACTGCCACCCCGGCCCCGAGAGACGCCCCCCCCCGTCCCGCACGATGGCACCCGGACTGGCTGGGCACGGGGGGCCCCCCGCACCTGCGCTCGCCCCTTCGGGAAACGTTTGCATGTTTAATACTATGTGCGAGTAACATTGCCTTGATGTTCCTACATTTGACGTCGGGTGTTGTGAAGATGTCCCGTTGATAACACGACGCGAGGGACTTTCTAGGACGGTAGAAAATGACGGCTCTGACCCTCAGATGCCCCTTCTCTCGCACCGACACCGACGGTTTACAAAGATGAGTCTATTTTTAACCGTGCCGAGTATTACCTGACGTTTTTCTACACTTCAAATGTCATTTCATACAAAATTTCCCAGCAAATAAATATTTTAGGAAACGCTTCCTGATGACGACTTGACCGACTCTTGCAAGAGACAAAGACCAAAAAGAGCACATTTTTTCATTAAAAAGGACAGCGGACATTTGTGTACAAAACTAACTGCCTTTGATAATCCTTACTGTTCCGAAATTAGACGGCCCTGCATGTCCTCCCTTTAAGAAGTAGAATAGGCAAACGTGTCTGCAGACGAATTTAATAACAGAAACCTGCGGGGTATTAGAGTCACAGATAAAATATTTCCCCAAGGAAAAATTTTACTGCTTAGAAACCTTTTTTTTTTTTTTTGGAGGGAAAGCAAACTTATTTCTCTCCCCCGACTCCCCCCCGCCCCCCAAACTGAACAATGACCAAGAAAGGGAAGATAAGGGAAAAAGGCGAGTTGACAGTCCCGGCTTCTGGCCCGTGCGTCCACCCACACCGCCCGTCTGGAGCTGACCGCCTCCCGCTGCAGCCAGTGTGTCGTGCTTCAGTGGTGACACATCGTGATCGAGTCACTTTCCGTCTTATTTCCTTGTAATTCCCGCTCTGTTAGCTTTTGTATATGAACCGTTCATCGAAAAGTAAATGTTCATTAAAAAAGTAAAAAAACGAACTGACCTCGTGGACGAATGTTATTCTCTGAAAAAATAAATCGTGTTCTGGCGGGCTCACTTCCGAAAGATGACCCGAAGGAACCCCGGGATGACACCGTTTGGGGAATGAAAGCTCCCCCTGGGCAGCTCGCCCCCGGAGCGTCCCGCTGGGTGAGCCTGAGGGCAAAGCCACAGCCCTGCCCCCCTCGGACGTGCCATCCCGAGGGTCTCCACTCGGGGGCTCCCCACCCCGCGAGCGTCCCCAAGGCCGGTGCTGGCTGCGGGGAGGGTGGCTGCTGGGTCCCCTTGGGTGCCTGCCCTCCGCTGTCCGCGAACGGTGGCCCAGGAGGCCCTGCCGTGGACCATCCGCCCACTGTCGGAGGAGGCACCCCGAAACGCGCGTGGAAGGCACGCTCTCTGTGACCCGCTCGGAAATGCAGACGCGGGGTCACGGCCGTCCGCCAGCTGCGTCAACGCCGGGCCCCCCAGCACGGACCCCCGCATGCTATAAGTCGGGTCCGAGTGAACACACATGCAAACACACGCCGTAAGCGTCTCGGGCCCGCAGAAGGCGACGTCCTTCACGTCAGCCTGCGGCGACTTTCCCAGCAAGATCTCGGCTTTGTTACGGAAAACTCGAGCTCTGCCGAGCGGGTCCCATGCAGACGAACCCAGTGTTGACATGCAGCTCAGTCTCAAGTCTGCTGAATATTCAGTAAGGGAAAGATCCTATTTTCTGCTCTCTGATTTCGTACTGTAGATATTTTAGTGTTTGTTATTTTTAACGGATGCATAAGAATCACCTTGGGAAAAATGATAACAAGGCAAGAAATGAAAAACTTTAAAAATCATTATAAATCACAGTGCCCTAGTTTTAGAATCATGGTAATTAAACGTGTCTCTGTTGACATCGCCATAAATAGAAAGAATATTCTAATAAGTCAGCAATCGGTCTTCGGTATGTCTCAGGAACCTATGCATTTATCTAGGGCTTTGGCTAAAGTTAGCCTAAATGATTTTCTACCATAATTGGGTTAAAATGCTGCTAAGTGACTCTCCAAGTTAAAACGCCACAGCAGACACCCCACCGAAGCCCGACGAGGAGGTCGTGAAGCTTCTAGCCTATTTGCTATGTTAACGCCTTAGAAATAGTCTGTCTCCTGTGGGACAACGTTCAGGGACAGGGAAGTCAGAAATCTCTATTTCACAAGCGGGGAGTCGAATCCCGGAGCTGCGAACCCATCGGCTCAGCTCGCATGGCGCACAAGGGGCAAACGCAGGCCGAAGGGTCAGTTCTCATCACGACCACGTGCTCGCGGAGCCAGGCGGTTGCTTCACTTAGAACAGACGTGGAACCTGAAATGGAAAATCTTGTTTCCAGCCCCGGCCGCATGATTATGTATTAAGAGCGCCCTAGATAATGTTTTTTTTCCCATGGGAAACATGACCTTTAAGTCTGTGTCTTATGTAACGATTCTGTGCTTCTGTGATAGAAGGGGCTGCTCTCAACAGATGGACTCGTCGGGGTGCCCTGTCCGTCCCCTCCCCGACTCGAGACAGACGGAGACAGAGAGAGACAGGATGGGGGACAGTGGGGGAGGGGAGAGAGACAGAAGCCCTGGAGCCCAGTGTCCCGATGCGATTGGACGTAAATGCCCTGCAGTGGAAACAGCGTTTTGAATGTTTAAAACTTGGTCTCGACGTCTGTCTCACAGCACGAACACGTCTGGACCAGTCGGCGCCACAAGCAAACCTGGGGAGTCCCTGGCCACGATTACTCTGGCCATCGCAGTGACTTAGTCATGAGCCTGTTGGGCAAAGGCCGGGGTGGGGTGGCTGGGGACAGAGGCTGAACGGTGTCCCAGAGTGGGTCGTCCTGTCCACTTAAGTACCAAAGTCCACCAATTCCGAGGCCATCGCTTGGTGCTCATTCGCATGGGACATATTTACTTTCCTCCCGTGAACGTATGGAAAGTCACAAGACCTCTTCCCAGACCACTCGTCACTGGTGTTCCAGGTGTGTCCCCTCCCAGTCCCTGGCCAACTTTCCACACCGTGGTCCACAGCCCGTGACACAGAGCGGGCTCACGCCTCTGCACATCTGTCCCTCCAGGCACGATGACAGCGGGTCCTGTCCGAAGTCTGGCCGTGAGAGGACCTCCGTCGACCCCTGTCCTTCAGGGGTGACCCAGAGCGAGGTCACAACACTTCTGCTCTCTGCTCTCAGGTGGGACCCGCACACCGTACGGAGCGGGCTACGAACGGGTGCGAGTCTTTCCCTCTTCGCCTCTGGTCCTAGGGGACTCTCAGGGGGCCATGGCTCGGGGCAGAGAAAGAACAGGCCTTGGCACGATGCAGCCATTGAGCCGCTCGCCTCTTCTGGAGGGAAAAACGATCAAGGTTTCCATGGGCTGAAACAGGACGTGAGTCTAAAGCGGGGTGATGTGGCAGTGACCGGGTGTGGCCTTGGGCGGGGGCAGCAGGCGGGTCCCAGCTGTGCTGTGTCTCGGCGGGATCGACGTCACCGTCTTGGCTGTGACAATGTGCTGCAGTTTTTTGGGTTGTTACCCAGTACAGGAGGGATGGGACGTGGCTGTGTTTGTTCCTTCGTACAAATTCATGTGAATCTGCAATTACATTAAAAAAAAAACGTTTAACTAAACATTACAAGATTCTCAAAATTAAAAGAAACGCAGAGGAAAAAAAAAAGACCAAACGGAAGTTAAATTGATACCTCGAGAAACCAGAGGATAATGACAGTTAAGAGGAAATAACTTTCAAATGGAAATTCTATGCCCAGAATAGCTACATTTTAAGAAAGAGAACACAGCGGAGACATCTTAAGGTTAATAAAACTTGAAGTTTTGAATGCCAAAGGATTCACACGAAAAGAAAGTCTAAGAAATGAAGAAAAAAAAAAATCACGGTTTTTTTTTGAAAAAAAAAGAAATGTGGGCAAAAAGGTCCCAACGTGTCGATAAATCTAAACTCTCAGGGAGCGCGCAAACTTCGCCTCGTGTGTGGGGAGCAAACGGACGACAATAAAGTCCTGGACAGCGACAGCGTGCGACGTAGCGGGAAGAGGGGACCCGGTGGGTGTCAGAATGTTCCGTGCACATACGTCAGTCTGGTGAAGTGAAGCTTTCAATACTTTTGACTCAACCGCACGGAACCTTCATTAAAAGAGCCGATGGCGAGTGTTCAACATGTTTCACTGTGGATCTAAAATGAAAAGGATGGGAATGGGGGTGGCGGTCCGCTGTCCGGATGTTAAAGATCGTGACAAAGCAGAAGGAATAAAACTGAAAACTAAGGAGGAAGGAGACGGGCCGAGGGGAACAGGGCCGGCTCGGCAACGGTTGTCGAGATAATAACAAGGAAAAGTCGGAGCAGGAAGCTCGAAACGCACGAGCCGGGAGCAGAAGGCGCAACAAGAAAAGCGAGGATTACAGATCTGAGAACAAAAAGGCGAAATTCCCTGTGTTCCCAAAACGCAATCCCAAGCGAGCGAAGAAGACGCACTGCACGGAGAAAGTCGATTCCCGGTGCCGAAGTGATTCGTATCGTGAAAGCGAAGGACTTGCTTAGCCCTTCTGTCCGAAGGAGAATATTTCCGTCGGGGAGAGATCACCACTGCACACCTCAAACTAACATAATAGCGAACGTCGACTGGAATCGAACGTTTTTTTTCGAAAAGGAAAATAGTTTCAAATAGAACCCGACTCTGCTGCTATAGAGCAGAAACACTTGCAAAACCCAGAGATCCTAAACAGGCTGACTAGGAAGATATCGGCAAAGACACGCCGTGCCAGGCAAATCAAAATTAGAGAAAAAAAAAAAAGCGGAGTTTCAACTCCTGACATCGGGCAAGGTAGCATTCAGGCATAAAATGATTAAACGTGGCAAACCACGATTAAAAGCAAAGGTTTAACAGAAAACCTAGAAATACACCGGAAAGTACATCCATCATCCACGCAAAGCAGAAACTACGGGAAATGAAAGGGGACAAAGATACAGGTGCATAAATATTAGAAATGTC